CGAGGTGACAGCCCCCAGCTTTGGTGCCTCACCCCCTCGGGTCGTCCTTTCTGCACCAGCACACGTCCCCACGTCCCTTCTGCTGGCATGCCACGAGGGGAAGCCCCCCAGCCCCCCCCCATGGCACCCCCTGGGCACCCCATCCCCCGTACCGAGGATGCACCAACAGCTTCCTGCCTCCCATCTGCCCTCGAACAAAGAACTTTCCTTCTGCCCACCCCGACCCCATCTCGGCCCCATGCCGCGCCGTGCCGTGCTGTGCCGTGCTGAGCAGGGCTGAGCCGTGCCATGCCGTGCTGTGCCGTGCCGTGCTATGCAATGCCGGGCCGTGCTATGCAATGCCGTGCTATGCAGTGCCGTGCCATGCAATGCCTGCCGTGCTACGCAGTGCCGGGCCGTGCCGGGCCACGCTGAGCCGTGCCGTGCCGTGCCGGGCAGCTCTGCGGGCGGGCAGCGCGGCTCGCCGGGGACACCTAGCGGCAATGCGGCCGCAGGGCCCCCGCCCGCCCCGTTCCCGTAGCCCGGCACCCCGGGGCACGCCGCAAAGCCCGGGCTGCGCGTATGGGGTGGGGCTGGGGAGGTCAAACCGAGCATCCTCGGCCCCGCAATCCGTTCCGGCTCCGCGGAGGGGCCGGTCAACCTATCCCCTCTGTCCCCAGATCGCAGGCGGCCTCCCCCGGCCCCTGCCCCGCGCCAGGGTGATGGGCACCGGCCGTGCCGGCTCGGGAGCACCCCGGGGAGGAACGGCCCCTGGTACGGCCCTCGCAGGGACTGGCGCTGGCACGGGGGGGCACCGGGGTCCCCCTCACCGGAGGCTAACCCTCTGCACCCCTTCCTTTGCAGAGAGCTCAAGTGCAATAGCAGAAGCAGCAGCAAAGCCGAGGGTAAGGCGTGGCCGTGGTGGGCGGGGGGCGGGGGGGGTCTGCGCCCCGAGAGGGGGCGGGGAGGGCGCGGGTGGTGCCGCGGGATCCTCACCGTCCCTCTCTGCCCCTCCAGGTCCCCGCCTCACCTTCCCCGACCCCCATGTCAGCACCTGCTCAGCCCAGCGGCACGCGGGGGAGGAGGAGGTCAGGATGCGCGTGAAGCCCCCGGGCCCAGTGGTAACGACCAGCGTTGTGCGAGGCTCGCCCGACTACGTCCGAGAGCCCAAATTCTACCCTCCGGGGCACCCGGCGCAGCAGCCCCCCGCTTGCCCGGCGGAGAAAGCCTTATCCTGCAGCGTGCTCAGCTTCCCTGAGGGCTCGTGCCCGGCGCTCGGCCGGGAGCACCAGGCGGGTTCGCTGCTGCACGGCGACCCGGCCGACCGGTGCCAGGGCGTGCACGGCGGCACCAAGGAGGCCGAGGAGCTGCTGGGCTGCGCCGGCGAACCCCGGATCCTGGGGGGCAGCGCGGAGGAAGCAGCCGCCCGCGATCGGGCGCCCGACACCTTCCCCAACGCGACGCTGGCCTCGGGCCGCTGCAACGTCGACAGCATCGTCGCGCTGCTCCGGAGCAAGTGCGGCAACGGGCACATCAACCTTCACCCCGTGGTGCAGCTCATCGACATCATGAAGGACCTCAACCGCCTCTCCGAGGACCTCAAGAGCAGCGGGGTGCATCTGGACTGCGGCAGCCTGCGCGGCAGCGGCGGCAGCGGCGGTGGCCACGAGGACGGCCGGCTGCTGCCCGCCGACCGCGACCTGCAGTACAGCTTCTTCTCCTCGCCCTCCCTGGCCAACAGCATCCGCAGCCCCGAGGAGCGTGGGGTGCTCTGCAAAGCCGAGCCGCCGCGGCATCCCCGGCCCCCGGCCCGCGACGGGGAGGGTGAGGGCGGTGGGGGGAGCGCTCCGCAGCCCCCAGCCTCCGGCAAAGCGCCCGCCGAGGAAGCAGGGTGCTCACAGCCCGATGCCGGTGACTACTCCGAGCTGGCCGAGGCGGACATCCTCAACGAGCTGGCCTCGCTGGCGTGCCCGGGGACGCAGCTGCTGGAGTCGCAGCCGATGGATCCGCAGCCCCAGTTGCTCCCGGCTCAAGAGCTGGACTCCCAGTCCCGGCTGCTGGATTCCCGGTCCCTGGAGTCGCAGCCCCAGCTGCTCGATGCGCAGAGCTTGGAGCCGCTGCCGGAGTCGCTGGAACTGCAGAACCTGGAGCCGCTGGGGCTGCAGTCGCTGGAGCCGCTCTCTGAATCCTTGGAGCTGCAGTCTCTGGAGCCGCTTTCCGAATCGCTGGAGCTGCAGTCGCTGGAGCCGCTGGCCGAGCCGCTGGGGCTGCAGACGCTGGAGCCGCTGCCCGGAGCGCTGGAGCCGCAGCTCCTGGAGGCGCGAGCCCCGCTGCTGCCCTCCGAGCCATCCCTGCTGCAGCCGCAGCCGCTGGGCCCCGTGCCGGAGCTGCTGGAAGCGCAGCCGGGCGCCGGGGATCCCCTACGGCCCCACAGCCTGCAGCCCCGCCTGGGGGGCTGCCCGCTGAGCGGCGTGGTGAAACGCGGCCCCTGTGGGGGTCGGGGAGCCGGGAGGTGCGGAGAGGACCACCGCAAGTACGCGCTGCGCCGGACTGACAAACCAAAGATGCTGTGCCGCCGGAGGAGGGCAGGGCGAGGGCGGAGGGCCGACGTTGTCCCCGAGAGCCGCGTCCTGCCCCTCGCCCTGCCCGCCGAGCTGCCCCCCGGGCCTGAGGAGCCCGGCACCCCGCTGCTGGCCCCCCCGCCGCCCCCCGAAGCCCTGGAGCCCGATGAGGTGCCCAAGACCCCCGCGGCAGCGGGGAAGAAGAGCAAGTGCCGCGGGGTGCGGAAGATGGTGGTGAAGATGGCCAAGATCCCGGTGTCGCTGGGGAGGAGGAACAAAACCACCTACAAGGTGTCGTCGCTCAGCAGCAACCTGAACCTGGAGGGCAAGGAGCTGGCGGCCAGCAGCTCCATGGAGCCCACGCCGCTGCTGAAGATGAAGAACAACGGGCGCAACGTGGTGGTGGTCTTTCCCCCCGGCGAGATGCCCATCATCCTGAAGCGCAAGCGGGGCCGGCCTCCCAAGAACCTGCTGCTGGGCCAGGCCAAGCCCAAGGAGCCGGCCCCGGAGGTGAAGAAGAGGAGGAGGAGGAAGCAGAAGCTGGCCTCGCCGCAGCCCTCCTACATCGCCGACACCAACGACAGCAAGGCCGACTACTCGGACGTGTTGGCCAAGCTGGCGTTCCTCAACCGGCAGAGCCAGTGCTCGGGGCGCTGCTCCCCGCCGCGCTGCTGGACGCCCAGCGAGCCCGAGTCCATCCACCAGGCGCCCGACACGCAGAGCATCTCCCATTTCCTGCACCGCGTGCAGGGCTTCCGGCGGCGCGGCGGCAAGGCGGGCGGCTTCGGCGGGCGCGGAGGAGCCCATGCGGCCCGCGCCTCCCGCTGCTCCTTCAGCGATTTCTTCGAGGGCATCGGCAAGAAGAAGAAGGCGCCCGCCGCCCTGCACGCCGACCCCGTGCACCCGCGCAAGAGGGGCCGGCCGGAGCCCGACCCCGTGGGCAAACCCAAGCGCAAGCGGCGGACCCGCAAGAACGGGGTGCTGTTCCCCGAGCAGAACCCCGGGCAGAGCTTCAGCGACAGTGCCTCCGAGTGGGCCGGGGAGAAGGGCAGCCCCTGGGCCCCGCACCACGGCCACGCCGCCGGCCAGCCGGGCCGCAACTGCGGCTACCAGGGGGCCGAGGCCCGGCCTTTCCACGCTGCCGCGCTGGAGTCGGGCTCCTCGGGCCGCGCCGGCTTCTACGCGGGCGGCGCCGGCTCCTCGCAGGCCGAGGTGGGCCAGGAGCGGCACAGCCTCTTCACGGGGTACTTCCGCTCCTTGCTGGACTCGGACGATTCCTCCGACCTGCTGGACTTCGCCCTCTCGGCCTCGCGCTCCGAGTCCCGCAAGTCGGCTGCCTACGCCGCCCCCCCCGGCGCCATGGCGGCCCAGCGGGGCGGGCTGGCCGCCTACCCGGCACGTGGCGGCAAGGTGCCGGCAGCCGCGGGCCCCGGAGCCGAGGCCTTCCACGCCGCCATGCAGGCCCGGCAGGCTTTCCCTCCCGGCCGCCCGGCTGCCGGTTACGGCGTCGGCCAGGCGGGCTCCTCGGAGTGCCGCGGTGCCGAGGCCTTCCCCAAACTGGTGCCGCCTTCCGCCGTCTCCCGCTCGCCCACCGCGCACCCGGCGGGCACGGCCGGCTACCCGCAGTACGGCGGGTACAGCGCGGGGCAGAGCGTGGCCCCCGCCGGCGTCTTCCCCCCGGGGAAGCAGTACCCCCCGGCGCAGGACTGCCCCACCAGCAAGGACTGCAGCTTCGCCTACGGCAGCGGCAGCAGCCTGCCCTCGTCCCCCAGCAGCGCGCACAGCGCCGGCTACGCGCAGCAGCAGACCGCCGGGCCCAGCCTGCCGCTGGGCAAAGCCTCCTTCTTCAACAGCGCCGAGGGCGGGCAGTTCTCCAGCGCCTCGCACACCCCGCTGCGCTGCGACAGCCGCGCCAGCACCGTCTCTCCCGGCGGCTACATGGTGCCCAAAGGCTCGGCCTCCTTCCAGCCCTCCCCCGAGAACTGCCGGCCGTTCCCCAGCGCGTCGCAGTGGGCGTTCCGGCAGGGCTACGGCGGGCTGGAGTGGAGCTCGGAGGCGTTCAGCCAGCTCTACAACCCGGGCTTCGAGTGCCACCTCAACGAGCCCAACGTCATCCTGGACATCTCCAACTACACCCCGCAGAAGGCCAAGCAGCAGACGGTGTCGGAGACCTTCTCCGAGTCGTCCTCCGACAGCACACAGTTCAACCAGCCGGCCGGGTACCGGCGCGCCAACAGCGAGGCCTCGTCCAGCGAGGGCCAGTCCAGCCTGTCCAGCCTGGAGAAGCTGATGATGGACTGGAACGAGGCGTCCTCGGCGCCCGGCTACAACTGGAACCAGAGCGTCCTCTTCCAGAGCAACTCCAAGCCCGGCCGGGGCCGGCGGAAGAAGGTGGACATGTTCGATGCGTCACACCTCAGCTTCTCGTCCTCGTCCTCCTCCTCCTCTGTCTACCCCTCCAAGCGCAGCACGGGGCCCCGGCAGCCGCGGGGCTCCCGCGGGGCGTGCGCCTCCAAGAAGGAGCGGGGCACGGGCAAGGCCAAGTTCCCCAGCAAGGCGCAGGCGGTGAACCCGCTGTTCCACGAGAGCACGGACCTGGGCTTGGACTACTACAGCGGGGACAGCAGCATGTCCCCTCTGCCCTCCCAGTCGCGGGGCTTCGGGGTGGGCGAGCGGGACCCCTGCGACTACGCCGGGCCTTACTCCATGAACCCCTCGACGCCGTCGGACGGGACGTTCGTGCAGGGCTTTCAGAGCGACTCGCCCGGCTTGGGGCAGCCGGAGCTGGAGGGCAAGCACTTCCCCGCGCTGCCCCACCAGCTGGCAGCCCCCGGGCAGCAGGCTGTCTTCGAGGCCGGCCTCCAGAAAGCCTTCTCGCCCAACTGCTCGCCCACCCTGGCCTTCAAGGAGGAGCTGCGGGCGGGCGAGCTGCGCAAACTGCCCGCCTGCGACTCGCTCAAGCACAGCATGCAGGGGGGGGCTCTGCCGCACGGCCCCCACGTGGCGTGCCGCGACCTCGCCATGCCGCAGCCGCACTACGAGTCCCCCAGCTGCAAAAACCCCCCGTATTGGTACTCGCCCACCGCCAGCACCCGCAGCCCCTCCTCGTACGACGGCAAGGCGGGCGCCGGCATGCTGGTGGACTTCATGGGCAGGACGGACCCCTCGTGTCTCAACCCCCATTTGAGCAGCCCCGGCGGCCCCCACCCCTCCAAGGGCGAGAAGGAGCCCTTGGAGATGTCGCGCGCCCACCACCGCGCCCCCTACGCCTGTCCCCTGATCAATGACTTGAACATCTCCCCCGTCCCGAGGGACTCCATGCTGCAGCTGCAGGACAACTACAGGTACCCCACGTTTGCACCCCAGGGGCACCCCGTCATGGCCCCCGCCCAGAAGAGCGGGTTCTTGGGGCCGATGGTGGAGCAGCACCCCGAGGACACGTTTACGGTCACCTCATTGTAGTGCCACTGACGTGCCAAGCGGACAGCGAGGTTTTGTTACAGGGTAGGTGAGGTGTGATGCTGGGGGCGGGGTGGTGGGGGCACAGGGGGGCACGGGGCCCTTCTCACCCCTCTCCTCCCCCCCTCCCCCCCCCTTCCCCGTGTTGTGTTTCTCTTGCAGAGGTAATTTAGCCAGCACTTTTTTTCTGGAACACTTTTCAAGTTCTGTATTTAACTGGGATTGGAACCGTTTGTTTGTTTTTTATGAAA